TTTGAAATGTGGTGTTGGAGAAGACTCTTGAGAGTCCGTTGGATTGCAAGGAGATCCAACCAGTCCATCCTCAAGGAGATCAGCCCTGGGTGTTCATTATTGAAAGGACTGATGTTGAAGCTGAAACTCTAATACTCTGGCCACCTGATGTGAAGAGCTGACTCATTGGAAAAGACCCTGATGCTGGGAGGGATTGAGGCCAAGAGGAGAAGGGAATGACAGAGGATGAGATGGTTGGATGGCATCACCGACTCAATGGATGTGAATTTGGGTAACCTTCGGGAGTTGGTGATGGACAGGGATGCCTGACATGCTGTGGTTCATGGGGTTGCAAAGGGTCGGACATGACTGAGCAACTGAACTGAACTGAACTGTAGAGCAGTTAGAAACCCAGGTAGAAACCAGTTCAGAAACCCAGGATAGAGAGGTTCCAACACATATTTAATAGGAGTCTGGATTAAGAGAATGAAGACAGCAATAGTTAAAGATATACTGGCTGAGAATTTTTCCTCTTATAGAAATACACATCAATTATTGAGCAGGATAACTCAAATCATGCCTTGGCACATCTTCATGAAACTGAAAAAAGAAAAAATAAGAAGAAAAAAATTAAAGCTATGTAAGTGACAAGATAGATTTCCTGCTGCAGAATGATGTTAGATCAACACTGAACTACACATCAACAATATCAGAAGCCAGAAGACTTCTTATGGAATTTTTAAAAAAAAGAATCAGCTCAGAATTCTTCACACAGCCAAATGACCATTTATGAGTCAGAGCAAAATAAAAGTCTTTTTCAGATTTACAGTCTAAGAGCATGTACCATTCACAATGCTCACTGAAAAGACTACCAAAGGGCTTACTTCAGTAAGAAGAAAAGTGAACCCAAAGGGATGGACGGTGGTATGAACAAAAACAGCCCAAAACAGGGGGAAAAATGAATTGCAGATTAACTGCTGACCGTAACTTTGGGCCAGAAGTTACCTGAGATGTATAAGATAACGAGGAAATGTTGAAACATGAGCCAAAATAAAGAAATAATTCACCACCATTCATAAGAAAGAACTTGGTCTGCTCTAGATTCTTTGTTCAGCCATTCAGCAAAGGAGGAATGAGTGACCTGTATTTAATGATTGATTTATACACCAGTCTTATTCCAAGAAAGATTTAGGTTCGCTAACCTACAGCTATTCCTGGTCTATCCTTCATTTTCAGATCCAGGAACTTCCTAAGGGAGTCATTGGCAGCCTTTTGATTGAAGCTTTGGCACTAGTCCCAGGGAGGGCTCTCCATGTTAAAATGAATCACGGGATGCGGTATTTTTTAAGCAATCCAGTTCCTCAAGTCTTTTAGACAAGCACAGCAAAGACTTTTTAGAAAAACTCAAAGGAAAATGGAACATGGGACTTATAAAAAAATTCTACAGCACTAAAGAATAGGTAAGACCCCAAGGGAAAATCTTCCTCAAGTAGGTAAACTTGAAGATAAAGCTGCTTCATATTTCCAATAACATAAAAGAATTTATTATGTCCATCAATGAACAATGTCAGTAGAAAAAGAATGCAACAAAAGTACACCCATAACAGCAGAAATTGGGTCTTCGTTAAAAGTAATAAAAGCAGAATGAAAAATACAGAGAATCTACTCATTCAAATAGATGATAATGTCAAGAATGATACATCAAACACAGAATAAATCAATATAAAATACTTTATATGAAACAAAAGAAGACAACAGATATTAAAAACAGGACACAGACCTGACAGCCAAATTGTGAATAAAACATTCCTGACAAAGAAGGAACAGCTGGTTAAGAATTAATTATCAAAGCCCTCAGAATTTGGAGGGAAAAAAGCTTGATATAGGAAATCAAGAGGACGCATCAGAGGTGGGTCCAGTGGCCCAGTGGCTAAGACTCCACCCTCCCAATGCAGGGGGCCCAAGTTCATTCCTTGGTCAGGGAACTAGATCTCATGTGCCACAGCCAAGAATTTGCATGCTGCAACTATTAATAAAAATCCCACTTGCCACAACTAAAAGACCCCGTGTGCCAGAACTAAGACCTGGTGCAGCCAAATAAATAAATATCAAAGAGAAAGGAGAAACATTATATAGTCCACTATCATGTAGATGTGACACCCAAGGATTTCATTCCTAGCCACAAGGTTTCATAAAAAAGAAAAGAAAAAGCATTCTGAGATTTGCAGAGACTCAAAAACATTAGTAAGCTCAGTGCTGGTCAGGGAACTAAGATCCCACATGCCTCAGAGAAGCTAAGCCTGAGCTCTGTAACTAGTGAGCCCAAGTGCCGCAACAAGAGAATCCTCATGCTGCAATGAAAGGTCCCACAAGACACAACCAAGATCCCACGTGCCACAGCTAAGACCTGACAAAGCCAACTTAAAAATAATAATATGTCAATGTACGGCAAAAACCACCACAATATTGTAAAGTAACTAGCCTCCAATTAAAACACATAAGATAGTAATAATAACTGATAGAGATATTGGAACAAAAGAAACAAAAACACTTTGAAAGAATAAAAGGAAGAAGTTTTATATTGTGGGAGACAGTTTCTAAGGGGTTTCCCACAGAGCCCTTCCTCCCAGCGTTCAGGTCCTGGTGAAATCTCCCACCCAGTGTGAGCTGGACCTAGGGAAACTCTTCTGGCAAAGGACAGCAGAAGGAACGGGATATACTTCCAAGATTAGGTTACAAAACGACTCTCGTTTCCACCTGGCTCACCATTTCTTGTCCTAGCCTGCTTTCTCTGAAGGAAGTACTGCCACATCGTTGTGAACTGCTCTATAGATATGACAAGAAACTGATAACTCTGGCAAACAGCCAGCCAGGCCTGGTGCCTGCCAAGAGTCACATGAGTGAGCTTAGAACTAGATCTTTTGAGGGTGCCAACAGCCCCATGGGTGAGTGAGAGACAAATGCTGCCCCAGAGAAACCTTGGGATGACTGCAACCCCAGCCAACACCTTGACTCAATCTTACTATAGATCTTGGGCCACAGGTCTTAGCTAAGCCACATTCTACAAGATAATAAATGTCTGTTCTTTTAAGTCACTACATTTTGGGATAATTTGTTACACAGCAATATATAACTATCATACCTATTGTCTGATTATATTTTAGAAGAATGGGAAGAGGAAGAGAAAGAAAAGGAAAGTGCAGAAGAGCATATTTCTTTTTGCCAAAGGGAGTCAAGAAATACTAGCTTAGATTCAGTACAGAACAAAAAAATGTATAAAATGTTTAAAGAAAATTATTACTAGGTTTAACAATATGGTTGTTGGCTTCCAAATAGTCAAAGTAAAAAGAACATATTTTGTGTGTTGAAATAGCATGAAAAATAGCAAAGAAACATTGAGAAATCATGTAATGAAATCCCTTAAGTCAGAGCAAGTACAGCAATTAGACCAGGAACCATTTTAGAAAACAAGGAATCTCACATTGGGTTAAAAAAGAAAACTCAAAATTATTTATTTATTTGGTAAAGAAATATATTTATTGAGCCCCTATCAGGATACCTGATGAATAAGCCTGACTCAGTCTGACATTAAATACAAACAAGCAATTATGACACAAGACAGTAAGTGCAATGGTGAAGGAAAAATAGGACACAAGAAGGGTTGGTTGATGTAACTTTTTCTCTGTTAGTATTTTTAACCCCTTTTATTTTAGGCTATCCACAAATCAGCACCACTTTCCAAACAGCCTTCCAAGATTCCCAAGACATAGCCCTAAAATATACACAAACAAACACAAATTATATTCGCTATAGTCTCTGATCAAAGTGTAGTAAAGTAATAAAGCATACAGTTTAAGAACAAAACAGAAGGCATTAATGAACTGGAAAGCTTTAAATAACAGCTGGCTCAACGAAAAATACTGATAATATAGTAAGAGATGATCCAGAAAAATAACTGGATATATTACATAAGAAAATATGGCAAATGTGGCTAATGATACATTCAGAATTGAAATCATAGCACAAAAATTTTTTGAAAGGAATTTAGCATTCAATTTAAAGTTCTAGATATAGAGCACTAAAGAAATCCTAAGAAAAATTAGATTAAGAAAATAATGACGATAAAAGAAACTGATGAAGGAACAAATAAAATAGACAATATAGTGAAAAATCTGATTAAGAGGAAAAAATAAAAAATTAGAATTGAGAAAATTCACATAATAATAACTATAATATTTTTAATTATTATATAATGCACACAATTATGTGTTACTTAATTTTAAAACAGCATTAGATTTAATTAGAAATAGCAGTAGATGGACATTTCTGCCTAAAAATAAATAAAATAAGGTAGAAGAAACAGAAAACTTGAAGAGTAATAAAGGAAAATGAATAGAAAAAAACTGTTAAAAAAAAAAAACCTCTAGCCCAACCAGCAGGTTTCAGTTCAGTTCAGTTCAATCACTCAGTCATGTATGACTCTTTGCGACCCCAGAAACTGCAGCACGCCAGGCCTCCCTGTCCATCACCAACTCCCAGAGTCCACCCAAACCCATGTCCATTGAGTCGGTGATGCCACCCAACCATCTCATCCTCTGTCGTCCCCTTCTCCTCCTGCCCTCAATCTTTCTCAGCATCACGGTCTTTTCAATTGAGTCAGCTCTTTGCATCAGGTAGCCAAAGTATTGGAGTTTCAGCTTCAACATCAGTCCTTCCAATGAACACCCAGGGCTGATCTTGTTTATGGACTGGTTGGATCTCCTTGCAGTCCAAGGGACACTCAAGAGTCTTCTCCAACACCACATTTCAAGAGCATCAATTCTTCTGCACTCAGCTTTCTTTATAGTCCAACTCTCACATCCATACATGACCACTGGAAAAACCATAGCCTTGACTAGACGGACCTTTGTTGACAAAGTAATATCTCTGCTTTTTAATATGCTGTCTAGGTTGGTCATAATTTTCTTCCAAGGAGTAAACATCTTTTAATTTCATGGCTGAAGTCACCATCTGCAGTGACTTTGGAGCCCAGAAAAATAAGGTCAGCCACTGTTTCCCCATCTATTTGCCCATCAGTTTGCCCACCTATTTGCCATCTATGTGACCAGCAGGTTTGAATGCTGTGAAATCTTAGAGAAACATAATTTCCATGTTAAAAAAAGAAATAACTTTTCCATAGCATTGGGGAAAATGGGAAGCTACCAATTGATGTTATAAAACAAACACGTCCATGGACTCCAAATTTCTTTGACTTACATACACACAATTATCGGCCAATTTCCCTTATAAATAGAGATATGAAAACCTAAAATGAAACAGAATTCCAAAGGATATTGATGCTATAATTCAGTCTCTCAACAATCATTCATTGAACATCTATTACTGGGCAAAGATGATACACCAAGCATTTATGCTAAACCGTGGGAGATACTAAATTAGTAAGATATGGCCTTTGTCATCAAGGAGCAGAATCTAATAGATGGGGAGGACATGTAAGAGAACAATTTAAATGTGTTACATGCAAAGAAAACCTATTCTCAGAGTATAGCAAGGAATAGGGACATCTAGCCCAGCCTAGAAAAGGAAAACAGAGAACTTTCAGCAAAGACTTCTTGGAGAACCATGAGCTTAAATTAAGCCTAAAGAGTGGGAATTAGCCAATAGGGAGGTGGGGGCCGCAATGTTCCACCTCAGCTGATGAGGTTATTCCAGGCAAAAGAGACAGGAGTGGAAGGAATTCCCTGGTGGTTCAGTGGTTAAGAATCCACCTTCCAATACAGGGACATGGGTTCAATCCTGGGGAACTAACATCCCACATGCTGCCAGGCAACTAAGTCTGCATGACACAACTAGAGAGCCTGTGTGCCGCAACCAAGACCCGACACAGACAGATAAGTAAGTATCTTTTTAAAAACAGAGAGATAGGAGCAGAGACATGGAGGCAAGCTTGCTTAGAAAAAAACTACTATACACAATAGTGGCCTACAGGCTTAGGACAGTGTATACTGTTTACACTGTAAGTGCAGGGTCTAAACCAAAGTAGGCAGAGTGTGAAGTACAAACAACAGATGATTGAGGACAGACCCTGAGGAACATCCAAAGTGCAGGTGGAGAAAGAGGAACCCACGAAGCTCATGGAAAATATCTGGTGAGAGAGGAACGAGGAGAACCAGGAGCACGAGACGCTGTGGAACTCAGGCAAGTTGTGGTCCACAGAGACTAATACAGCGGAGGACAGTGTGAACAGTGGATGGGAACAAGGAAGTGAGCAACAAGTGTAGACTACCTGAAAAGCTAGGACAAGAAGAAGAGGAAAGAGTGGAGAAGGTGTGAGATTCAAAGGGATGTTCTGGTTTTTTTGTTGTACAGGGTTGTTTCAGACATAATTCTAAAAGTTATGACTTAAAGATATATCATTTCTCAGGATCCTATCAATTGCTCTAGTAGCTCTTCTGCTGGTCAGCTCTCCTGTGGTCAGTCTTGGGCTATATTCAACTGGTGGGTCATGTGCTTGGGCTAGTTGGGACACCAGGTTTCTCTGTCCACGTGATCGCAGATCCTCTCTCCCAAACTGGTCAGTCATGCTACAGGGCCTCTTCCACATGGCCATTCTCTCTAGCAGAACAGCCTAGGCTTCCTTATAACATGGTGGCTGGGCTCCAAAAGGGAATGCAGTAAGTCTCCTACATACAAACTTTCAACTTGTGAACTTTGAAAGTTGAGAACATGCCCTATCACGTGAATTAGTTCACATGTCAGGCGTCCATTGTCACGTGCATGCATCCTCTACAAGTGGCTGTGCTGGTGTGTACTTTACTGTACAGCAGTACAGTATCTTTATTTCAAGCCCAGGATTTCCAGAAGCAAGTGGGAAAGCAACAGTGATGCAGCAGGTACTGCTAAAAAGTGCCAGCTGTTGTTCTGTACTACTGTACTTTTCAAGGTGCTGTGCTGTAAGATTAAAAATGTTCTCTTTATTTTTTGTTTGTTATGTATTTTCTGTGTGAAAAGTATTATAAACCTACTATTATAATACAGTACTATACAGTAGATCGTGTTAGTTGGGTACTTAGGCTAACTTCATTGGACTTAATGAACAAATTGGACTTATGAACATACTCTTGGGATGGAGCTTGTTGGTATGTAGGGAACTTACTGTAAACTTAAGAGAGATAAGCTCAGTATTGCCAACCCTCTACTTGCATCACATCTGCCAATAACCCTTTACCCAAAGCAAATTACATGGTCAAACCTAGAGTCCACATGGGAGGGCCTATGGAGCTTGTGAACACTGGGAGACTTGGAAGGAGGAGTCTATTGATACAACAGTTCACTGTAACAGTTAACTGTTTTCTTCCCCCAAAATGGGAGAGTTTAAAATGTTTATAGGCTGGGACCAACAGAACTAATTGAAAGGGCATATCTTTCAATTAGTATTCAGTGTCTGAAGATACAACAAAGAGAAAGTATTACTAATAAGTCTCAGTAGGGAAGGGAAGATGAACACCATCCTCTGAGACTGGAGGAGAAGATATTTAACACAGGTGTTTAGGACTTCCCTGGCAGCTCAGTGGTTAGGACTTCACACTTCCATTTAAGGGGGCACAGGTTCGATCCCTGGTTGGGGAACTAATATCCTGTATGTTCCATGGTATGACCTGATAAAAAGAGAGAGAGAAGAAATAATTAAAAAATAAAAAAGTAAAACTGGTGTTTAAATGTATTTTGGTTAAATCACTGAGGGGAATAAAAAGGGGAGTTTTCTACGAAAATGTGGCACTGGGGTAGAGACACCAACCCCACCATCATTCTGCTTTTCCATCAACACTCAGTCTGTATGCTGAAGCTGAGGAGGCTGATGAAGGTATTGATCCAGGTTTAGAATTTGGTTGTTGGATGCGGCAGAAGGATAGTGGTGCCAGGGAATTATGGGCTATGGGAGATGATAATCTGAGTAATAGAAATGGGGTTCTTACTCCATAGGTAAAAGACAGAGGCCAGGAAGAGACTAATAGGGAAAACAGAGGAGTCAGGAAACTAGATATCTTTATAGGCCAAAATACACAGATGGCAGAAAGGGAAGAGATGTGGAAGCCCGGGGAGGTCCAAGAATTGTAGGGCTAGATTACTAGATAGGTAGACCACATGAACACTGAAATCCAGGAATTAATGAAAATCCAGGTGAGGTGGAAAATTCTAGCCAATACCTAGGGTCATCAGTGAATGACAGGTCATGACCAGGAAGTGAAAATTCTGTGGAGGGGCTGCTCACGAGGATAGAGACTGGGCCTGTTGTGGCCTCAGGCACTGGCAATGTCTGACACATACAAGGCACTCAGTATCAAAAATTATTTTGTGAGAAGAAGAAATAGCATATGACATCACTTATATGAGGAATCTAAAAAGAAATGCTACAAATGAACTTACAAAACAGATACAGGCTCACAGACTTAGAGGAGGAACTTATGCTTGCCAGGGGGAAGGACTAGGGGAAGGGACAGTTAAGCAGCTTGGGATGGACATGTCCACACTGCTATATTTAAAATGGATAACCTACAAGGACCTACTGTATAACATAGGGAACTCTGCTCAATGCTATGTGGCAGCCTGAATGGGCGGGGAATTTGGGAGAGAATAGATACATGTATATGTATGGCTGAGTCCTTTCACTGTTCACCTGAAACTATCACACATTGTTAATCAGCTATACTCCAATATAAAATAAAAGGCTTTTAAAAAATAATTATTTGTGCAACAAACAAATGACTTTACTCCACCTCAATCACTTAACACATGTAGAAAACCCAGGCTCCGAAAGCTATACAGCTAGTGTTCAGCTAGCCAGTGCTTACCACTTCCTTGCAAAACCACACTAAATATGGATTTCCTTTCACTGTTCACCTGAAACTATCACACATTGTTAATCAGCTATACTCCAATATAAAATAAAAAGCTTTTAAAAAATAATTATTTGTGCAACAAACAAATGACTTTACTCTACCTCAATCACTTAACACATGTAGAAAACCCAGGCTCCGAAAGCCATACAGCTAGTGTTCAGCTAGCCAGTGCTTACCACTTCCTTGCAAAACCACACTAAATATGGATTTCCTTCTCAACCTCCCAGAGGCAGTTTGTGATTTTATTATTTTATTCTCTCAGAACTATTTAAGTGGCATTTGTCATTCCCTGGGTGCTGGGATGGAATATCCTGAAGCTGAATGAATAAAGGGAGTGGTTGAAAATCTTCCTTGAGGCCTAGAGGGACTTACTCACTTATTGGAAATAATACATCACATGCATTTTCAAGGCACATTTGGTCCTGTAACCATATCCTCACCAGTCTGCCAACATTTTATTGTCCTCTCTTCTTCAGATACTGTGGTCCTACCTTCTTCATTAAGACTCAGAAAATCAGGAAATCACATACACTCACTATGGCTGTTCATCCATAGTCATCATAGATTTTTTTTCCCCCATAGATTCTATAGGCTTTAAGAAATGAATTGGCCTCCAGTTGAGTAGGTCTGGGCTGTGAAAGTCTTCCTCTTATCTTTAAATATTAATAGAAATGAAAACATCCCCCCAAAGGCTATTGACCACTGTGGAATCCAACTGAAGAAAGAGGGTGGTGACACACTCCTCCTTCCCACTGGACCAAGATTTCAAAGCTTCAAATGTGTGGTAAATCTAACCAAAGATAAAGATTTGCAGGTGTTTTTTGCATAAAAGCAAGAAGGGCAGATGTATCTGAAACGTGCTTCTAACCAAATGGGACATCTGCAATCCATTAGGGGTGTCCTGAAGAGAGAAAGTGAGAGGAGAGGTCTGGGAAGAAAGCCTGCTCAGCAGAAACATGAGCATGAGGACGTGTGTGGACCCTTCTGCCAGGATCTGAGGACAGTGAGGTTCTAAGACAGGTCACCTTTTCAGGGGTAAACTTACATCTCTGCCCAACAACCTGGTTACTCTTTTTTTTTTTGGTTCCCTTCTATCACGTTATCTTTGAAATGTCAGTGCCTTCTCTTTACTCAAGTACACCTACATGTTTTAGTATTTAAGACTTGGCAGCCACCTCAGATAAAGACAGCATTCCCCTCTGTGAGTCTGCAGACCTTCCTTTCTCAGCACTCGCGGAGAGTGATGGGTGTCCTGACTCGGCTTCTTACACTCCCACAGAACAAAGCAGAATTGTCACCACGGCATTACTGGCAGGTTACTCACTGGCTGTTATGTGCTCTGTTTCAGACTCCCAAGAAAACCACTAGCTTTGATTAGAAGGTGTGTAACAAAGGCTGTTGCGAAATACCCACGGCTGTGAAAATGATTCGGAGGTGTGTGACTCCTAGAACGGACGTTACGAAGGTCACTCGATTTTAATATATAGGCTCTATGCCCAGGGCTGGCTTCTGGTTTCCCTTTGAAGTCTCAGACTGAGCTTCAGTGACTGGGTCCAAGTTGAGCATAACGTGTACCTAGGGTGCTCCTTCTGTAAGTTCCTTCATGAGCGAACAGGTCTGTTTCCTGTATAATGTCTCTTACTGACTTGCCTTTGGATAAACCATTAGTGCTGGGGCATTTTGTTAATTACTAAACTCCTGGTGACAGACAAAACTGGCCTGTTAAAACTTGTGTGGTAATTTGAGGATTTCAAGCCACACCTCTGAGAAATGTTGGTATCAAAACTGATTTGGTGTCGAGACAAGGTGTTAGAGGCCACAGTTTGATAAAGTGGATCCCCAAGTGCAGTTGGCAATTACGTTTTTAGAAGTCTTCAATTATGCCATTTTATAAGAAGGTACTTTTAAGAAGCTACAAGTCAAGAATGTGTTTTTAAATCCCTTCATATACACATTTATAGGTTAGCCCCTATTTAAGAAGCACCAGAAGAGCCCTGTTCTAGATACAGTAAGAATCAACAACAGTCCCTAACTTCTGAATCTCAAAGCCAAGAAGAAAAATCTCTTCAAAAATTAAAGTATATGGTCAGTGCACTTCTGGAAAATATTTTACTTAGGATCAAGGAGATAAGCATGACCAGAAAAATCAACGTGCTTTCATTAGAAGGATCTTCTCACCTACCCAGGATTTGTGGATTTAAGGTCTGTGTTTGGAGATTCTCCTAATCTTTTATCATCTGAGAGTGAAAGATTGAATAAAGACTGTTATAACAGAGGGCACTTGGTATTTCATTTATCCTTTATCCCAGAATAATCTTCCAGTAAAACTGAATGTAAGTTTCTACATCAGCAGAGAAGCTTTCTATTTCTATTCCTATAAGGAGGAAAAACTCAAATTGGCTTACATGATAAAACTGGTTTAGCTGTTCACAAATCTAAAAGGCTGAAGGCTTCATGCATGGTTTGATCAAAGCTTCAGCTACAGGTAACATCAGGGATTAAATGACTCCTTCATGACAATGGGGAAAGAATTTGGCTTCCCATAACCATCAAGCAAAAATTCTGAGCTTTGAGCTGATTGGACTATGATAGAACCAATCCCTCTGACCAGGAAAATACTTTGGTGTTGATTGGGGCTTCCCTGGTGGCTCAGATGGTAAAGAATCTGCCTGCAATGCAGGAGACCTGGGTTTGATCTTGGTGTCAGGAAGATCCCCTGGAGAAGGGAATAGCAACCCACTCCAGTATTCTTTGGGAGGATTCCACAGAGAGTGGAGCCCTCCACGGAATCACAGAGTCGGACACAACTTGGCAACTAACACTTTCACTTTCTTTCACCTGAACTAATCACCTGTGGGGTTCAGGTTGGGTCCCTACCTAGGAGAAACAGCTGCTACATGCTTTAGAAGGAATGAAATGGAGATTGAGGAGGCAATCACAACATAGCATCTGCTGCAATCCTTTTTCACACACAGACTCTGTATAATTTTTTTTTTGGCTGTGCCAGGTCTCTAGTTGCAGCACGTGGGATCTTCGTTGGGGCATACAGGCTCTAGTTCCCCAATCAGGGATCGAACCTAGGCCCCCTACATTGGGAGCTCGGAGTCTTAAACACTGGACCACCAGGGAAGCCCCTAGTTAATCTTTATTCAGTATCAGAGATGAGGGCTATAAAAAGGAATCTATTTCCTCTAAATTTGATATGAAAAATTTAAAGATGGTTTTTACTGCTTCAAAAACTTAAAATGCATAACTCTAAGTTTGTTTTTCCAACAGCTCTCTTTTCCCTTAAGAACACTCCCAAAGGAAAAAAAAAAAAAAAAAAAGAATACTCCCAAAGAAATATTTTTAGCTTGATATCAGTGGGTAATTGAGAATGATTTAAAGTCCATCCTATGGTCCATCTTCCCTAACCCTTTCTTCCCAATTTCCAAAAGCAATATGACCTAATCTTGAATTCTCAGTTATAGGAACCCAAATATCTTCTCCTTTGACTTGAATTAAATTTGCAGAAGATGCCATGTTCCAAGGTATAATGAACTTAACAAGTTTTCTTTTGACACATGTTCATTTGTTTCCCTTTCCTGATAAAACCCACTCCAAATCCATCAGCTTGATCTGCGAAGGGCCAATCTAAGGGATTTCTAACAACTAAGTATTTTTTCTAAACTTTACTTAGAAACAGAGCTCCTTGAGTTCAGAGTTAAAACTGAAGTACTACATAAAAGTATACAGGGAGGGGTCCACTTGTAATATTTTCTTTCCACTGCCTTGGCGAAGAGAGAATGAGCTGTTCAGAAGGCAGGGCTTCTTATGACTGTCGACAATTGTTCAAAGGCCGTGGAGGACAGATTAAGTGAGAAGCTAACTTCACATATCCCAGACATATCAAAACAACAGTAGTAGCCAAACTCACAAAATTTTCTCCAAGTCTTACACTTGCAAGACCATCATAAGCATTTAACCTGTCTATGTCAGAAATGAGTATTCTTTCCCAATTGTTGAGAGTGCCAATGATGCTCACACACCACAGCACTGGCAGACGCAATCAGGGAAGCAGCTGAGAATCGGGCCTGGGTTTGTTTGTAGTTGGGAATTTACGACAGAATTTATCACTCTTCTGACATCCCATCCTTGAGATTTAGCAGTCTGGGCTACCAAACTCACAACACAAGACCCAGCGCATTCCCCTCTGTGGAGCAGGACCTTCAGGTGTTGTGGTTCCCTCAGTCCCTGACCTTGTGTGAGAGGTGGAGAAACAGGAACAGGTCTCTGCCACCCAAACCCCGTGCCACCTGTGGGACAGCCTCATCTCCTTCCTCTCCATAGGGAGCAGCCCAGAGGCTGGAGGGAAGAAGTTGCAACACTTGGGCCAGGCCTGCAGCAGGCCAGCCTGCCCCTCAGCAGGCAGCTGGGGGTGGTGGGGTGAGGGGGTGCAGTTTGGCCTGAATGCTGCTTAGTCAGGTTCCACTGCTGAGCTGAGTTCCAGATGTGCCCAGACCTGCCGCCACCAGGTGTCTGTGTCTGGCTTGGGAGGTGACTGAGCCAATATGACTCTTGCCTCCTAGTGTTTCCCGACACCGTCCTCTGAGGAACATGGAGGACTCAGGTTAGGCCACCTCAGAAGACTTCTGACAGAGCCATGGCTCTCTGACCACCCTGCATGTCAGAAGCCTTTCCCTGTCCAGCCCCTTTGGCCTCACAGTCCTCCTGCCAACCGCCCAAGGGCAGTTCCTCTTCTAGCCACAGGTAAGATCACAAAAGAGGGGGGCAGCCACCCACACACCATGCTGGAATACACTGTTCCCATCAGTGGTGCCCAAAACTCCACAGAGCTAAAGCTAGAGATTTTTTCCTTTTTATTACAATGACCCTACAGTTTAAAATACCCTTTTTTAATTTAAAAAAAAAAAATTTTTTTTTCAAGTTCATTTGTTCCCACTGGAGAAAAACTTCTTGTGAGAATCAGTTTTTCAGTAAGAGGCAATTCTATATTTCATAGAACTATTATCAACTAGACGGAGTCTCATCAGTGTATAAACACTGTAAAAGTTTACCAGCCCAGAGACTTCCCTGGTGGTCCAGTGGTTTGGAATTTGCCTTCCAATGAGGAAGTGTGCAGGTTCGATCCTTGGCTGACGAGCTGGGATCTCACATGCCTCATGGCCAGAAAGCCAAAACACAGAGCAAAGGCAGTGCTGTAACAAATTCAATAAAGACTTTGGGAATAGGCCACATCAAAAAAAGTCTTAAAAAAAAAAAAATCAAAGTTTATCAGCCCATTAGTGAGCTCTGAATCCAGCACAAAAAGGTTGCTACTAAACTCCAGGTGGCTTTTGAGCATTCCATTTAAAGCTTAGGCAGGCACTGAGCCATTTTGCATCAGGAGTGATACCCACCCTACAAATGTTTACTGCACATCTACTACTATATAGTACAAACCCAGGCCCCAAGAAGACATCACTATACATAGCAGAGGGTGCACATGAACAGCACATAGGCCAGATTCAGCCCAAAAACACACTTTGCTCGACTCACACAGTATTTATCAAAAATTTTAATGAGTTGCCAACTTTTAAATATCAGGATATTTCCAGCTTCTCTTGAAAACTCAGGAAATGTGGCATAAGTAAGCCCACATTCCCAGCTGATGACAAGCAGAATAAAAACTGATCACTTCACACAGGCACTGGCTCTCAGCGTATACAACCCCCACCTGTCCTGCCTACCCCAGCTCAAGCTGCCCCTCCTCTCAGGATACACCAACAGTTCTCAGGGTGGGCCATCAGAGCATACCCTCCCAGGAAAGGCCTCACTCAGGGACAGGGCAACCCAGCCAAGCTTTTCACTTAAGAAGAGCAGCTCGGGGCTTCCCTGGTGGCTCAAGAGTAAACGATCTGCTTGCCAATGCAGGAGACGTGGGGTTCGATCCCTGATCCAGGAAGATCTCACATGCCGTGGAGCAGCTAAGCCCGTGTGCCACAGTAAGAGAAGCCACCACCGTGAGAAGCAAGGGCACGGGCATAGCAACTGGAGAGTAGCCCCCACTCGCCACAACTAGAGAAAAGCCCATGCAGCAACAAAGACCCAGGACAGTCACAATAAATAAAAATATTTTTTAAAGGAATTACTTTAAAAAAAAAGGGGGGGTGGGAAGAGAGAGAAAGCAGCTTTATGCCTCCATAAGAACAGGTCATAGGGTTTTTCTTAATTTACACCTTCTCAACTTTTACCCTTTTTAATAAAGTTTTTTTTAATCCCTGGTATCAGTGAAGATATTATTTTTTATGCTCGCTACAACAAGAAACTGGACACAAATGAGAAATGGCCAGGCTGAAGCAAAGAAGCACGCAGAGACAAAAAGGGAGAACTGTGAGAACGGGGTAGGCCCTCAGGGTACACCATTCACCAGCTGAAGAAGCTGAGGCCTGGGGACAGGAAACTCATGCCCATTACTGACCAGTAGAAGAAGAGAAGCATGGTCTGGATGGTCCTTACCCAGCCAGTGCCACATCCTTTTCTTCATTCAGGGGTGGTTTCTCTGGCCCAGTTTCTGCTTACATGTTTCCAAGAAGAGCAGAGAAGTCCATCAAATCTGGAAATAAATAGGAGGGCTGATGTCACAAGTCACACTTATCAGGCATATGGTTTTCGATGAACCTGCAGAAAATAAATCAGCAATTTTCATCTAGTCCTACTGATTCTCTATATGAGCCCAAATTGTCACATTTGGAGAAATGTATATGTGCATCCTCAGGTTTCCAGGCGGAACAGTGCTAAAGAATCCGCCTGCCAAACAGGAGATGCAGGTTTGATCCCTGGGTCAGGAAGATCCCCTGGAGGAGGGCATGGCAACCCAGTCCACTATTCTTGCTTGGGAAATGCCATGCACAGAGGAGCCTGCCAGGCTACAGTTCATGGGGTCGCAAGGAGTAGGACATGCTTGAGCATGCATGCATGCATATGTGCATCCCAATGGTGCATGTTGGAATAGACAGCCTATTTTCACATTTTCAAATTGTGTATTGCCAAAAATCCTCCTTGTCTGTAACTAGAGTTAAACAGGTTGATCCTGATTTTTGCTGCTAGTGAAAGGTTTTACTAAAATATAATTAAGTTGTAAATTAATTTTACAACACAAAGATACTGACTAAAATTGTCAATGAGACAGACTAAATGTATTTAACTGGGCCACTGTCTGGGTCTTTGACATTTCAGTGTATTTATAAAAAGCCTATATGACCATTCAAGAATGCTGAAACCAAGAATTTCTCTGGAAACGAATTTAAATTAATTACAAGATCAGTTTTATGAGCAGCAGAAAGAGAGGAGAATAGCGTTTACAGAACAGAAACTACCTTATTTAACTCTACCTATCTAACTAGGGACAGGACTTCATACCTACTTTTAAAGATGAGAACAGTGAGGCCAAGAAAGCTGTCCTCCTCAACCGGTTTCCAATTGTGGGAACCAGCTACACCCAAGCCATTCTAACTCCAAAACCTGGGCTTTGTCTGCTGAAGCCACTCGTAACACAGAAGTCACAAAGATGAGTAATGACCAAAGAAGTCAAGACAAGGACACATCACGACCAGGCTAGAGAATGTAATAAGCACAATAAGAGATGCAGCTGCAAGTGCCTGGGGGTCAGAAGAGGACAAAAGCAGGCGGAGTGGAGGGCTGGTGGATCAGGGAAGGCCTCTGAGAAGCGGTGACATTTGCTAAAGGTCCTGAAGGATGCATTGCATTACAACAGGCAGAGAGGAGAAAGGTCAAAATGCTGGGGGTGGGAAGGAGGAGGATATGAACAGAGGTAAGCTGTTTAGGTTTGCAATTCACAAAGCAAAGCTTCATAATACAGTCATGTGAGAAAATGCATCTTGCCAACACCTTGCCAAGGCAGGGCAAAGAGAGACCATCACAGGCGGTCAGGCAACCTCGTACCTGCACGGAAGGGCACCACGATGCAGACCCAGGACACGGGCAGGACGCGAGATGTGTGTATGCAGCCTGCCAGGCACAGGCAGCAGGAGCTCTCTGGACTCCATGAAGCCCAGATTCTCCTACTTTCCTCCACAGGCACCACAGCTGCTCCTTTCTCTCCTTTCCCACTCAGAGGTCTGTAAGGTTCAGAGCCAGGAACCTCTGTCTGAATGACTGCAACTCCCTTCTTTTCCCTTCCATCTCATATCTTTTTCACAATGTGCAAGGTTTTTTTTTTTTTTTTTCCCTTTTTCCCCTTCAAAGATCTTCACTAGCAGCAAGGTAGGTGGGATAAACTGGGGGAGAAGGCAGGATCCTAAGTCCAGCCTTCAGAGAATTCTTTTAGGGACCTGAAAAGGGAGAGAAGGCAAGACTCTCCTCCAGGGTCTGCGTCTGCCCCACTGTGGGGCAGAAGAAAAGCTGGGTCCTGTTTCAGCAGCCGTGGGCCATGTCTGTCTGCTCCTAGGGGTGAAGGACGCTGTATCCCCAGGACAGAAGGCCAGGTCCCCCCCGCAGGCCGCCTCCCCTTCTCCTCATGGGGGCCGAGTTCCTTCTAGGTTTCCCAGGACATTTCATTTTGTCCTTAACACCCCATAAGGTAGGTGAAAACTTAATCCCATTCTACAACGGAAGCAACTGAGGCTGAGAGAGCAAAGTCACTCTTCCTCGGGACTCGGTAAAGCGGGAACAGACTCTAACTCAGACTACAGAAAGGAAGCGGGACTGCCCCGTTAGCGGTTGTAATAAACCTCCCTGGCGCCCTCCTTTCTCCACAACCTGGGATACGTCCCCCACCCCCACCACCACTTCCTCTGGAAATAAAGTATTTGGTGATGAGGGTGGCACAGCCCTCTTCTTGGCCGCGGTGGGACCCCGGGTACGCCCCGGGGCTGGCAGGGCGGCAGGATCATCGCCCGCAATGGGAGCCAGAGAGGGAACTTCAGAGCGTTTCGCCCTTCCCCGGGAGAGGCAAACACCGACACGTCCGTGTCTTTCCCGACAAGTGCCTTCAAGCCCGGCGGGGGCAGACACCTCCGCGCCGGCCGCCGGCGAGGTCTCCGCTGTCTGCGGGGGCCACGGCCTCGCCTCAGCTGCATCGATTTAGCGCGTTCGTGGGCCGCCCCGGCGGGAGGCGGCTTCCCGGCGGCGCAGCAGCAGCGCCTGAGCCGCGGGCGACTCGGCGGCCCGGCGGGAGGGGGAGGGGAGAGGGGGAGTCCCACTTCGCCGCGGCGGGCCCCGACGGCCGGAGCTTGGATGAGGCGGCGCCCGCCGAGCTGGGGCGGACGCGGGGCGACCCGGGACGGGGACACGCGCCGGTAGCCCAGGCACTGCAGCGGCCGCAGGATGGCCGAGGTAAGCACGGCGCCCGCCGCGGACGCGGGGCCCTCTCAGCGCGCCGAGTGGGGCGGCCGGGAACGCCACTAGGATCCGGGGCCGCTCGGTTCTCGGGGGCGCGCCCCGGGCCACCTCCCCGAAGGCCACCTGCGCGGCAGGGGCGGCGGCGGTGGCGCGGCCCTTCCCCGGGGCCGGGCGTGAGGGAGCGTCTCCGCGGCAGGGAGAGCCCGTGGGGGCGCCCGGACCCGTCTCCTCCCGACGCCCCGGAGCCGCCCGACGCGCTCCTGGTGTGCGACCGGGGTCGGCGGGCGAGGGCGGGTCCCTTGTCCCTGGGGCCGCGTCGAAGCGTCGAAAGTGCGGGGTCGGGAGGGACCGGGCGGCCGCGTCCTCCCTGCGCGCGTTTTCGCGCCCCCTCAGCACCTCCACTGTTCGGTCCAGGACGTTGGGACTAACTGTTTCAACCGCTCTTACCGCAGAATTAATTACACAGCTGCTATTTTAAAGTGACCGTTTTTCACCTGGATTTTGTTTCTGGAGAACTGAGCGTGCCTTCGAGTCCCTCAGAGAATTGCGGAGCCGGGCGAGGGGCAGTGACGGGGGCTCCTGTCGGGATGGGGTGGTTGGATGGGGGTGGGAGTCTGTTGTACAAAACCACAAATGGAGAAGCGGTCGGGTCGGGGGGCTTCCCGGGACAGCAGAGAGTCGAGGGTTCAGGGTCAGGTTTTTATAAACGTTCCAGCTGACCTGCCGGGTGCGCGGAACGGTTCAGCGCGAGATGTGGCCGCCGCCCCGGGATTCGGGGCCGGGCTCAAGTGTTTCCACGTCCGAGCCTAACAGACGGGGCTCTGGCCCTTGTGGGGGGACGGGCTACCTGAGGGTGACCGGGCCGGACCGGGCTGCGGAGCAGGCGGCGGTGTCGAATCCGGGGCCGCCCTCGGCTTCCCGGCCCGGAGATGCCGCGACCGCCCGCCTCCCGCGCTACCAAGCAGGGTCCTGGCCGGCGGGGCGGTGGACCGGGGGCCCCCCGCGGGCGGAGGAGGGGGAGGCGGCCACTGCGTGGTCCCCGCTGCTCCTCGGGCCAGACCCCGAGCCCTAGCGGCCGCCTGGCTTTGCATAAACTCCTAAGGATTTGTCAGCCAGATGTGACAAGATTGTCGAGAGCGGCGAGTGAAGGAGGAGATCTGATATTAATCAGCGCATAGCTCGGAGCCAAACTTTCTCAAATGCGGTGTAGAAACATGTTCTTCTCATTTTAGGCATCTCTTTGTGGCGGCGGGGCTGCCACCGGTCTGACTTTGACAGTTAAATGGAATGCCAACTAGCAGCCTTAATTGTATGAGTAAAGTTGTGTGTTGTTTGGGGGGAGGATCAGACACGCTAAGTTTCAGTAATGTCCCCTCGTTTTATGGCTGTGCTCACCGCAGCCCTCTGAAGACAGGGCGTTTAAATGGGGCCAGACGCCTGGTCGCAGCCAGGCCTCTGCTGTTAACACTTAAGGGGCCTAAAAGAGGCCCCGCTGGTGTCCTGGGAATCCCTGTCGGGGTGTGTATGCGTGTGTATGCGTGTGTGTGTGTGTGTACGGGGAAATATGTATTCCTACAGCTTTGGACTCATAGAGCAGATTTAGCAATCATTTTTTAAAAAGCATATTCTTCTTATCAAAGCAACAAAGATTTTGGCTTGACAGTAAGTGAATTGAAAAACAGCATTTAGCAGGTCATTTCTTTTTCTGGTGTCCTTCTGTTCCTTATTGTTTTAATTTGCTGTTGGATTTCATAGCATCTTTTCATAAGATTTCTTGGACTCTTAGTTGCAAATATGTGCTTATATGTTTTGTTCATAAATGTGATGGCTTCTCCGTTGTCCCCAAATCTCTTGATGTATTTATTAATATTTCATTTAAATTGAATATGTCAAAATAAAACTTTTGTGCATCATGTAAAAGAACATTACTTCAAATGTTACAGATTGTCCAGGATTTGATTTTTGCTTTAAATAGGTGTGGAAAGATAGCCACCTCTTTTGCTAAAATAAATTTTGATAAATAGCTTTATCCTTTGTGGCATACCTAAAAGAATAAGATGTCATTATTTGATTTCTTACCTTGTAAGTTTGCTGACTTTAATTTCACCAAGGAAGTTGGTTGAACATGTTCTGTTGTAGCTAAAAGCTGTGGTGGAATCTTCACTTAGCACAAGTACTGCTCATATTTTGGGAACTCCTGTTCAGACATCTGCATAATTTAATTTGGAATATCATCTGTGTCCATTGTTGTATTCCCTTCAGAATAGTAAGGATTTAGCAGCATGCTTCTCCTTCAATCAGAGAGTATAATGAGTTTGAAGTGGTGATTTGGCTGTTGATATCTACAGGAATGTGGAATGATGATCTGTCTGTTCTGGTTATAATTCACACTAGACATATTAACCCAAACAGAGTTATTGCAGTAGAAGCATAAAGTTTGCACAGAGGGTTACCTTTATATTATTTTAATTTTTCACACCTCTCCCATGCAGCAGTTAGGCCTGTGTCCCAAGCCCATGCTAGCATTCTCTACCTCAGCTTGGAAAGAAGGATGAACCAACCTATTGGGTGAGAAGAGCCATATCGGTTTCCCTGTGGAACAAATCATAATTGTCATTTAAGCATACACTTATTATTTATGAACGCCTAGGGATAAATATAAATGAGAAGACATCTGAAAAGTTCAGTTTGCCAGTACAGTTAAACCACAGCGTACAGGGTGAGGGGTATAGGTGTCTTTTAGCTTTTGTGTATGGCTTTAGAAGTTATTTTGACAGTGGCCATTAAAGAGTTGCCCTGAAGGTTCCACAAGGTAAATTACTTGCAGGAGAAGCGTGCTTTACCCGGGGGTGAATTTTCACCTCTACAGATGTCATTTAGAATGAGTTACTTTTGTCAGAAACAGTCCTGTTTTAAAAAAACGAGAAATACCACAGCTAAGGTGAAATCTCAGTGCTGAGCAGCACATCTTTTTGATATCTGAGAGCAAGATTTAGAGAGTCAATAGATTTTCTAAATTACTATTCTGAGCAGTCTATAGATTTTGAAATTTTATTTATTTAGATATTTTATTTTTGATGACTTTTCTGGGAGATGTTAAAGATAATGGATCTGCACAGAAGAGGCATCTGGAAAGGGTTTTTTGTTTTTTTGCTTTTTTTTCCTTTTACATTGATTTCCACCTGAAAAACCTTACTTGCTTTTGTCATTCTTTGAAGCCCTTTTTCCTAATTCTGGAAATTCCAAGATTATGGTGCAGCCCCATTTCCCTACTCTGACACATGCCTATTTTATCCAGAAAGGGTGGGTCTAAACAGAACAGACCTGGTTCGCCAGGGTCCAACTTGGGGTCTCCTCAAACTTCGCATGAATAAGCAAACCAGCTGTTGCTATTCCAGTCCACACATGGACTCATGATTATAAACCAGCCTAACATATCACAGGAGGATTCTGCCTTGCCGGGTGGGGGCTGATAATTTCAGTTAGCTAATGTGAGAGAATAGAGAGACAGACAAATAAAATGTTGTGAAGGCCAGGCCAAACAGCCTACGTGGAAGGAAATGGTTGTCTCAAGTAAACTTAATCCAGGCTGCTAACTTTTTTCACAGAGTTATATTAGTTTGTCTACTCTTACAGATTCTTTGTGTGATCCTTCAGTAGGTGCTAGCGAACATCAAAGTTGTTTTCAACTCTGCATCAGCTTTCAGAAGCATTGTTCTCCTTCTGTAGCCCTCTGATTATTTCTTTCATTACTCCTTATGAGAATAAAATTTTTATACAGACAACTCTGTTTCACAATAACACCATGCTGAATGTTAAGACAGTGGTCAGGATGGCATACATAAATCTGATCTTTTTAAAAACTTCGTTTGGAAAATCTTGGGATTTTTTTTTTTTTACTATATTTAGTCTTTAAAATCTAGTTCTCACTAAATCCCTGAAAGGTTTGCAAAATTTTACTTAGCAGTGTTCATAATTTCATCATTATTTTGCATCAGCAGAAAGGGTGAACTTGCTTTGTTTGTGTAGTTAGAATTATCCTGAAGTGTAAATGTGTTTTTGTTTGTTTGGTTTGGTTTTTATTTCTTTCTCCCTAGGTTTTGATGGTTGTGTCCAGAAGTTCCCTACATGAATCGTTATTCATTTTTTTGTTCTTCCATTTTTTTTGGTCAAAGGTTTCTGAAGATTACAACTGAGGTCTCTCAAACATAAAGGAGAAAAAATGTATCTGTATCATTTATATAACTGTATAGTTTTTTTGTTGCTGTTGTTGTGGTTTTTTAAAAGAAGAAATATTTGGTTTGGCTTCTATGGTCTTATTTGCATATTTTTCTGCTTTTTGTATTTTCTGTTTTTAGAACTAATAATTTTAAGGAAAAAAAGGCACAGCTGTTAAATTAGTTTGGCACAGAGTTTATACTTTGATTTATAGAGATCAAAAGAACAAGTATTTTCCCCATCTCCCTCTTTGAACTGAGTAGCAAGAGAACACTCCAAGTGTGTCACGCATGCTTTCTACTCACAGGTAGACCTGGCCTAACATCTGTTCCCTGAATTCTACCTCCCACCTGCCCTTTTCTCTGCCAGACCCTTCTCCACC